ACTTAGATAAACTAAACAAAACTTAATAGAAATTGTTTTAAATTCAAGTGTAGTGTATTAATTGGTCCCAAGGATTATGTAAATCCAACACTTCTGTCACTGTCGACCATCGTTTGTGCAGAGATCACCGAACCCAACACTACCCAGTGTCACATTGGCGCCCAACGTGGGGCCTCTCAAAAAAACTGTGACTCCAGACATCAAATCGACACTGTGTTTCGTCCAATCGGTTCGATTTAATCATTTTAAAGTGTTTCTACATGATTATGAAAGTTTTGCCTGTGAGGCAATCTAGTTTTGCATGTCATCCGATATCATGAATTAAAATCATACGTGTCCTGCCAACTTCTTCATGGAGGATTTCGAGAGAAAAGCTATCGAATCCTTTGACCACAAACCAACGGTATAGTTTCGATATGTAGATGCCATCTTTGTTGTTTGGAGTCATGGGGAAGAGAAGCTTAACCAGCTCATAGGTCACCTGAACGTGCAACTTTCTAGCATACAATTTACCATGGAAAAGGAGAAAAACCTAGAAATCGCCTTAGATGTTCTCATAAAGAAATCTGGAGAAAAACTAAGCCACAGAATTTACTAAAAACCCAGACAGGTATCTGCATGTACTCTCAAACCAACATTCAAGTCAAAACGTGGAACTATAACAACGTTAACAGAACGTGCTCGGAACATCTGCGAGCCAGAACATCTCGAGCAAGAACTGGATCAACTCAAGTTGGCCTTTCTATCAAATGGATACAATGCATCTGAAATCGACAAGGCCATGTGACCCAAAACAGACACACGACAAAACGCGGATGAACAACCAGTGGTGGCTAATGCATATTTACCTTTCATTTCTCGGGTGACATACAGGATAGGGAAAGTCTTGAAGAAACACAACATAAAAACGATCTTCAAGCCAACAAGGAAAATACAGCAATCAGATCAGCCAAGGATAAAAGGAACTCACTGTCAAGCGCTGGACTCTATCGTATACCCGGCAAATGTGGTAAGGTATACATAGGAACAACAAAACCATCCATGGGAACCAGGATCAACGAGCACAAAAGAAACTGCAGACTAGGACAATCGGAAAAATCGGCAGTAATGGAACATGCGCTTAGTGAAGGGAATCACAATAATATTTGATGAAGTCAAGCTTCTTGGACCGATTTCCGGATAACACAATCGTCTTGTACGTGAAGCTACAGAAATCCACAAACCAAACATACGGAAAACTTCAACAGGAAAGAAGAAACACTAAAACTTAACCAAATTCGGAACCCGATCTTTAAAAACACAAGAAAAATTCCATTGAGTACAGAGAAAGTTGAGATTAGCCACGTGGTGTGAAGCCCTTCCACAAGCACTCACACATAAATACAACTTGCGGTCGGCAACGCGACATTCTGCTACCAGAATCGGACATGGAAGCACCTCTGAAGATGCTAGCCACGCGTGCTAGTGAAACGTCAGGAAGAAATTCCAACTTACGAATGAAAACACTTTATCAACCATTAAACTACTCAGTGTGGACCAGGGCCGGTATTCTCGTTCTCGAAAACGCTCATCGCTTTTCAGTCGCTCGGCACTTTCAATGTAAATTTGCATTTAAAGTGCCGAGCGACTAAAAAGCGGTGAGCGTTTTTGAGAACCAGAATACCGGCCCAGCTGGCTCTTGAAGGTAGCAACACTGCCCTTATTGAGCCCGAGCCTGCTCTTGGAGTTGCGTTCTGTCTGGTGAGAACCAAGATCAGAAACTGATCCAACAAATAATTCGAAGTCGAATGGCTAGAACAGGGAAGCCTCGACAGTCAATGATCTTTATACAAGGTCCTTCAAATTGCAAAGAGGCAAAAAGCTTCCTGAAACTAAACAGGAGCCAACTTAGCCATCATAATGGTGGTCAGATACCATCTACACAAAATCACACTCAGTAATCAGATGAAATTCAGTTCTGCAGCGAAGTAGATGAAATTACCAAGAATATAGTCTAGTGAGTCGCAGACTACGATACCTCGGGTACAGTTCCCTGGAACCTGATGAAATAAAGCATGTCCGTCCTGAGCAGATCTGCATCTTTCTTAAAAGTCGCGGAGTTCTAAGGTAAGACAGGGCTGCACCAAGAGGAGGATAGCACACATGCGCGTCTACGTGGTGCCTGTGAAGGATCTCCTTTCAAATCAATCAGTCAACTTAAACGTTAAAGAAAATTTTGGTTCATATGAGTAAAAATAAAAATCAAATTGCGTTTGCGACCCAGTTGGCATATGATCATTCCAGGGAAAGATGAAATTTGACAACAAAATGATCGGTTGCCCCTCAGCGTAACGTAATACTGAAATGGTCAACTAGAATTTCATAAGATCTGTTCTCACAAGAGTCTCTGACAGGGAGCCAACTAGACGGAAATTTGGTAATATTCGGTAAATTCTTATTAGCTGTGACAACCATCAAATGAATGAAATGAATTATGTTGAAAACAACAGTCGCGCCTTTCAACGTCAAGATTTTAATGACGACGTTGTTGATTAGGATATGATATTAAACTGGTTTAAATGTTACATCAGAAGTTTCAGTTATTGTTCGGCTCTTTGTTAATTTACATTGATAAGAAACGGTTAAATCATATCCGATACTTGTGAAAAGCAATTTTTCCATCACACAACATCGAAACCAATAATTCAGAAATAAAACTTCCATTTCCGGAGAAACAAAAGAGGCTTATCATTAACTTGCTCCCGCTCGTAGTGCATGTTATTAAGTAAAGCCAACCGAGTAGTCTTGTGACGTCAGACTTCTTACTTACTCCGTAAGCCTCTTAAAATTTTAAGTCGCTCCTGATTGACTGCCGCTCTTTGCTTCTCCGAGTTTTATTAGTAGTAGTTGTAGCGAGGCAAATTTTGTTTTTGGCAAGTTGACAATATATTTCGATAATGTTTGATAAGTAATCGAAATCGTCTTTTTTTTCTACTTGGATGGATAAAACTCTCTCTAAGAAGAAAAATTACCACAGAAACAGACCAAGGCAATGAGGTAAGGGATTCAATGGAGCGAAGTAAACAGATTGGCAAACGTTGCTAGAATCAGAAATCGGATTTTTGTGATTGTGTATGGGGTGCGTCCAATAATAGCTTTTTATACATTTTTCCTTAGATAAATCCCCGGTTTCTCGAACGAGCATCTCCGAATAAAAATCCAATAGGCGACCTTTGGCCATCGAGTGCATCAAGATATTACTTCACGGGCGTGCGGTCGAGATTTTCCAAAAACCTTCCATCGGATCTCAGCCTGGACGTTTGTGCGTTATTGGCCATTTCCAACGTATGTCGAGCGAAACTTTAATATTTATATTGAAGATCCCGGCCATATTTTGTTGAAAATATATATTTTTTTCGGCCCAAACATGCCAAAGTAAATTTAATATTGTCCCTTGAATCGTTCCGCAAACACCAACCTTAATTTACCTGATTGAAAACGCAATCGTGAATGTAAACGGACGTAATCCTTTGTGCGGAACCCTGTAGGATTATTTTCTACTCTCCCTTCCCTCGGTTACTCGCTACCACTTTATTGTGTCCAGGATGCATATTGCCTTGATGTTTGTATCTGCGGTTAATCCTATATGTTTAGTGGAAATTGTAATTTTGACATTATTGTCTTGTTTCATTTTTCTAGTGAAATTTAATTAGGTTTTAATGCCAATGAAAAACTCACTCACTAAGGGTAATTTGTTTAGTTTATCGTCGGAAAAGTTTCTTTTGTAACTTTGCCTGCTATCGTATCTACTCAAAAGATTTTCTTAGGAAGAAGAATTATTTTAGTTGGTTGGTTAGTTTAAATGCCTGCCTCCTTTTCGATTTTCATCAACATGAAATATTTTGTTTTTCTATGATCTTAAATTGTTTGGCATTTGAATTAAAAGAGTGAAAATGATAGATAATTTACCAATAGATAATGTCCGAAAAAGTGGAGGGTGGGGGTCAAGTTGCAAGAGAAAAAAAACAACTTTTCATGTATTTTACCCCTTATTTAATTTTTGGCTGAACTATCTACTCTGAAAGCTCTCGGTAGGAGAGCTGCGCTGGTATAGCTAAATTCGAAATCGAGTTTTCCGCAGAATATTACATGGGAATTTCGATTTTTTTTCGTTTGGCATTTCTTTGCTGAACTATCTGCTTTGAGAGCTGTCGGTAGGGGAGCTGCTGGGTATAGCTAAAATTCGAAATCGAGTTTTCCGGCGAAAATTATGCGGGAATTTCGTTTTTCAAACGTTTGGCATTTCTTTGCTGAATTATCTGCTTTGAGAGCTCTCGGTAGGGGAGCTGCTGGTATAGCTAAAATCGAAATCGAGCTTCCCGCTGAACATAATATGGGAATTTCGCTTTTTTTTCGTTTGGCATTTCTTCGCTGCACTATCTGCTTCGAGTGCTCCCGGTAGGGGAGCTGCCGGGTAGAGCTAAAATTCAAAATCGAGTTTTTCGCGGAAAATTATGTGGACATTTTTAATTTTTTTTTCGTTTGGCATTTCGTAATTCTATTTAAAATATGTTATGGGCTTGAAATTAATCGACGCATTGAGAGACATCCGTAATTTCTATGTAATGTGAACGTGGGATCAGAAAATCTTGAAATACCCTATTTCACGGTCTATAAGGTAAAAGTTAGTGCATATATGTAAAAAAAAATCTTATGTCAAATATCACACTCTCAAGGAAAAATTAATATATTGTCATTATTTTTCTGATCTATTTGGCGGAAATCAAGTTATTACAAGACGAGACCCCCGAGGGACTTTTGCGGTATTTACTTTCTCCCTCTAATTCAATACGACAGCAAAATGACTTCCTAATTTGCCAGCCTCCTTATCAATCACCGACACCTTCCTCGAGAGACCTCCGCCTGTGTGAACCCCAATCAAGTCCAATTATCATACGGACCGCGCGTTTCGAGGGGGATGTATTTTTGATTATGTTTAAGGTTTTTAAAATAAAACTTACCTTTCCAACTCCGGTGACTTCTCTTACTCCTATTCGTCTCAGAAGGGCGGGTGGTACAGGTGGAGGGCATTTTTGCAAGGCCCCGCAAAATCCTCCCGGATCCGTTTCGTCCGAGTTGTAACGTTTCCTTCTGTGCGGCGACGAGGAAAGGTTCAGTTTCTGAGCGGCTCTGTAAACAAGAAAAAAATTGATATTCAAAACAAAAAAATATCGAGCCCAAATGAACTGCTGAAAAAATTCAAATTTAGTCATTGTCATGCAAAAAAGGCGACCACGGAATAAGGAGGAATTCTTCGCACAGGGCTTTTCCAATTTCACACTTGCCTGAGTTCGAAAAACGAGTTTTCGGCTTTATACTAGGCCTTAAAATGAAGTAAATTTGTGTATAGGGATTTATAAATTTATCCTCAACAACTGCACTATCAAGCTAAGAGTTAGGTATTATTATTCGTCATGCCAAGGTTTAATCTATTATCACAACCATTATGTAAAGTAGGTTTTCGATTGAGATAAATCTGTGTTCTTTTTCTTTTAAGATTTTTTTTCCTCAATCAATAATTCCAATCCCAAATGCGTCTTTTCAGCCCAACAGAGACGTTCTGACAGGCCTCCGGCTAAAATTTCAAAACCGTCACCGACAGGTTTTTAGAGGAGAAAATGGAATAAGCCGTGTATTGGCGGATATAATGGATTCGATATTGACTTAGTTGCGGCGAATTATTCTGGTCAAAAATCTGCAAATTTCATTTTGGTTGCGACATTGTCCCCTGTATTTAATCATACATTCCCCCCTTGTTGTTTTCCTTTCGCTCCCCCATAATGCTTTTTTGCCCATATAAAACGCGTGACGTCCATACCGAAACCCGTCCTGTCATAATATTTAGGTTTTTACATGGAAGGATAACGTGTTATTTTTGCGGCTCAAGCCCTCCCAGGCGCACTCACAATTCAATTGATGCTAAAATTTATGTATTGATAAATAGGGGTGTCAAACGGAATGGGAAGGAAACTTGCCAAATTTACAAGGAAACCTCCTTAACGTTTCTATTGAAGGCAAGTTTGATTAATAACCCTCCCAATCCCGGTGTAGTTCTTGTGAATGAATGTTTTGAATAATGTTTTATACGGCGCGTAAATAGAAAGTGAACTTGGAGGGTGAGATATCAACGACGAGGCTCGATATAAGGAAGCTTATATCTTAGGGATTTTACTGAACATACTAAGCTATAGCTTTGATTTTTGATTATCCTAGAATTAAAGATCGGTTAGAAACTTCTTTTCGAACCTCGTAGAGTTGAAACTGAACTAGAGCTGCATTAAAATCGTATTCCTGGCTCTCGTCAAGAGAAGCTTGTTACGATAAATTTATCATTTACGTAACATATTCCATCTCTTCTTATTTTCATTATAAAGTCGTATTTTTTCCATTTCAGAATCAGCAAAATAATCTAAGATATCCACAAAGTTCAAAATAATACAAGTGCTGCCATCTATCCATCATCTGCGTAAAATGCAAATATCTTTTATTCATTTACCAGTACTGCCATCTAGTACCTGATGGATTTATTTTTCAAAGTATGATTTTAATTATTTCGCATTTGACAGTCATTTGTATTTTCATTCAAAGAAATTATATTTAAATTATTATAATTTGTAAACAATTAAAATAATTGTAGTGGATTTTTATATATTCTGTTCTATTCCACGTGTGTTTTCCTTGTGATTTCATTGTGAAGTGAATATGACGTTCTCTTTCGTTGACGGAAGTCTGGCAGGCAAGTCCTCTTTATTTTGAATAATTTTTGATCTTAATTTTTAGATTCTCCCTTATAGATTTTTCAATATATTTTGCTATCAATTCATATTATCGGATCATTGCTTAGTTTTTACCTGATAAATCTTATCTTATCTATTCTCGAAATATAAATATTATATTTTATTTTTTTTAATCTAATTGTTGGCTTCCATTTTGTGTGAGTGCTGATTGTTTGTGCCACGTTTTTTTTTTTTTTTTTTTGAGGTAAGTCAAATCAGACTTGGACTAATAAATAGGTATACTGCTGCTCTGGTTTTCAGAATCAATTGTTAGTGTGGGGATATTGGACCATTTGCTTTAAATAGAGTCGGTGAAAAACCAAATGTGTGTGTCCATCCCTATCAACTCTTTATTGAATCCAGGCAGAGGCCTGAATAGCAATTTTCTGTTCGACTCCCTCAATTATTATTTCGACTAAAGGGTGTAATTTTTTAATAGAAGTCCAGACAGGTCAAAAATTCAATAAAAAGTTTTAATTAAAACATCTCAAAAATTTTGACATATTCTGGGCTTGATTAATTTCAACCCCAGGTTTATCTTGTATCTATAGGAGCTATCTTAATTTGAAAGGAAAATTTTGTCTATTTGGGGGAGAATCCCTTTTTTCTCATTGCTTTACCTCATTTTGTTCATATTTTTGCCTGCCAGAGCTACTGTCAGGAAAGCAGCACAGTGCTCAATCTGTAGGAAGCATTTTAATTTTACTATTATCTAACCATTATTTTCAATTATTTATTTGTATTTTTTTTATATTAAAATATATATTTTTTTCAATTTGCAATAGCTGTTCATACCTGATTCTGTTGGAAGGAAGTGTCTGTACAACAACAGTTTTATATAAATTTCAATTTAAATTTTCTTTGAACCTGATACTGCCTTATTCTTTTCTGGGTACCTACTCTACATAAACTGGAGTGACGTCTCCTCAGCAATCTATCCTCTTCCTGAATACAGGAAACAACACGAAGAACTCCAGTTCACGAAATTGCCCATTGAAGAGCTCCGGATTGGAAAGGTACATGTTATCAGATTCACCGGAAGAACCAAGCTGTCATCACTAAAATTTTACAGAAAGTAACATTTACAGTTGTTTCTCTATATTACAGAACATTGTAAACAAAATATTATTGTTTGTTGGATTTTGAGTGGTTTCATTTGCACATAAAGGGACTACACGTTATCTTAATTTTTTAAATTCCACGACCCTGGGTTATCTTTTCTTAAAGTAACAAATTCAAGTATAATTTGTAACAAGCTTGAATGTTCCACGTGCGGCTTCAATAGAACTAAAATTGAACTGTAATCTGTGATCATTCTAGAATCAAAGTTGAACCAGAGTGGTGTATCTGGATTTGGTGGAGGGTGTCCCATGACAAGTCACGGCACTTGAGCCCCATTGGAACTCTTCTGTTACCTCCCGGCAATGAAGTGATGAGAAGGTTTGGAATGGGCTTTGCTTCATTCAATTGATTCCAGGATGTGACAGCGCTAGTAAGGACAGAAAATCTATTGGATCTGCCTGATCTCTCACTCTAACCTTGAGTGAGATAGCGCTAGTGTTATGTATTTTGTGAGAAATATTGTGCTGAAGATGTGTGTCTTTTATTATAAAATCTGACAATGACAATTCTATAAAAAATACTAGTTACATGTTAAACACTCCTAAATTTTACAACAGGTTGAAATTAATATTATATAACAGCTAGTAAGGCCAGAAAATCTCACGGATCTTTCCTGTTCTTTCACTCTAATGTTGGCTGCAAATATATGTATTGAGTAGATAGGTAAAGGGCAATTCCAAACCTTCTCACTAATTCATTGCGTCCGGGTCCTGCCAATTCTTCAAGCCATCGTTCAACCTAATGTTTTGAGAAAGGTGGGAATGTAGCCTGAAGGGACTTTCCTCAGAAAAGCCATATTAGGCCTGCGCTCTCCCAGAATGGATTTCCTTAGATCCGAGAGTACAGTGGCAAAGCATATAATCTAATGTTTCGTCCACCTGTTCATAACCCCTGCAGGAGACTAACTTAATATCATTGAATGGAAATGTTTTCTTAGTGACTGACAGTGGCTTGTCAGAAACCCTGTGGTGAAACCTCAATGGGTGAAATGAAGGTGATTCCTTGACAGGTTTAGGTACGTTCTTTCTGCAACTAAATTTGGGTAGCTGAGCAGCTTCCTAAGTAGTTGACAGGAGGTTGTCTCGTTCCATCTAGATGTAAAGTCTTCAAGGGTGATCTTTTGAGTCATCTGAGTCGAAGTAGTAAGAGGCAGATCGGAAGGATCAGGTCCTAATATCGGGGAGCCATAAGCTGCCTTGCCATGCCACGACACTGCGCGTGCCTTTTGACCCATCTCACAGAAATCCTAATTTTTAGTTGTGATATTCTAGTACTGACCCTAAATAATTGGTGTGAATGGTGGGAATCAACTTGCAACAAGAAAAACAACTTTCCAAGTATTTTACCCCTTATTCCATTATTTGCTGGACTATCTGCTTTGAGAGCTCTCGGTAGGGGAGCTGCTGGTATAGCTAAAATTCAAAATCGAGTTTCCTGTGGAAAACTATGTGGGAATTTCGATTGTTTTTTGTTTGGCATTTTCTAATTGGTTGTCTGTTGACTGCCTTCTTCTACATGGGGCATATTTTGGCTCCACAACCTACACTAGTTATGGCACGAAGTGCCGCTTCCTTAAGGTAGATGTCAAGGGGTAGTAGGCATTACTTTCACAGCCATAGTTGGCGTTGTTCGCATTGCTCCAGTTATGGTAAGATAGGCTACTCTCTGGACCTTACTGTGCCATCATATCACGGCTCCATAGTTAATCATACGTCTGATAATAACAGTGTAAGTCCACATCACAACCAAAATTCTACCAACAGTTCTGCTCAAAAGAAATGTTTGCCTTTTCTAGTCTTCTCTCAAGGTGAAGATTCAAGTTCAATTAAGCGTCTAGAGTGGTGTAGAAGAAATCATTTTGCAATATATCTAGAGACCAAATTCAACTGAAAAAATTAAAAAATGTATGACTTACTCTCTTGGAGCTGACTTTAGAACTTATGCTCGCAAAGCAAAACGTTTGTGTTTCTGTATGCGGAAAATTGTCCGGAATGCAGAGCAAAAAGGAATTCGTATGAAATTAAATATTTTTACTCAAAGCACATTTCAAAGACTCTAATCTCAAAGTCTCGTTGTATCGAAACAAACTAAAAGGGAAAAGTGGCTACTATAGCTAGTTAGTTTCGGGAGGGAAGGAAAAAAAAAGTGATCCATCAATCCCGAAGAGGTGGGGTGACACTATCAGCACCTGGATCAGGTCACGTGTGCTACAATATCGGGCTAAAAGGTA